ACGAAAACACATACATTTCTCCAAAATAGCGGGCAGCGGGCACCGCTGTATTCGAGGGTCGGTCCATTTGATTATATGCGTAAGATCCTGCCGCTCCCGCTCCCGCTCCGCTGCCCGCAAAATTCGAGGCCGAGGCCTAATTAACATATCTGCTATCTACTTCCTCGAGTTAAAATGAAGCCATGTGTGGAAACAATATCACTATTAAATTACAACTGTGTTATGTCATTTATTGAAATTTTAAAAGTCATACATATTTCATTGGATATTTCAATCCATCTAAGTGAAATATATAAAATAGAAATAGTAAGTAAAAAGACTATACAAATAATTTTGTATAGTCTTTTTACTCAGTAGCTGGAAGGATGACTTGATGATCAAATAATTATTACACTATTTTGTTACACGGGACACTATTAACCAATAATATTTAAAAGGTGTGGAGTACAAAGACTCGCAAGTCTTTAAAATATATTTTTGTTATATTGTTTATCCGATATTTTAAGACATGAATATAAAAGCATTTTTTGTATTTTTTCTATTTCAACAAATTATTTTAATTTCTTCACGCTTTGTTCATTTATAAGGTTACAATTCTTCCTAAATTTAATGTATAAAGAGATCTTTACCAATTTATAAAATGTAATTTATGATAAGAATTTAATATAACACAAAAATACATTATTTTTTAAACAATTTATTCAAACATTTCACTTTTGTTAACAAAGTCCATCATTTTTAAATATGTACTATCATATTAAGAATAGAGATAATGTTACCATTTTATATCATGAGTCTCAATATCCTAAGAAATTAATAAGTGAGTGTCTTATAACTTTAGAATCATAGTGAGTGATCACTTTTAGTCAAAATATACGAATTAGCTCTACGTTTTTCTTTTAATCGTTTATTTTATTTTTACCGTGTATGTGTTTAAATTTTATTCTAAGTTAGTCCGTTCAGTGTGATATGTAATATTTGTTTTTTTATGGTAGAAATTGTTATGTATGTAATTGTACAATGAAGTTTACTTAGTGATGGTCAACCAAAATCGTATCTGACTAGGATCATAGGATAGAACAATATCACGAAAAATTTTTTTTAAATCAAATTATAAAAATTACGTTTAGAATCACATTTTGGAATTAGTTATATTAAAACGCGTGCTATTTTTTGTTTACTGGAGCAAAACTTTTATTGAAATATGAATAATAAAAAAGTTTTCAACAACATTCTGTTTTAAAAAGTAACGAACAAATATCTGTGTAAAATATAACAACATTTATGTTTTTCATGTGGATATCAGTTACAACATGTTTATGAGAAAACATTTGCATTATTTGAAGTTGTTCTGGTTTGAAACAGAAATTGCGACTGATTATAATTTTCTATATGGATCTTAGCTAAAATATAAATTATTGAAAATTTTTATAACAGTTCGAGAAAGATGTTATTCATATTTTGGTAAACATATTTTACTTTGCTAAGTATGTAATGCAGACAACTTGATACACATAATGAAACAGTAACCGATTTTTAGAATAGATATTATCTGACATGTAAAAACAATAAAATGAATCAACAAAAATAGTTTGAATAGTAGAAACGGATATTGAAAATCGCTGTCAAAAATATACCTCTAGGTACATTGCATCTTTTTTGGCATTCAAAGTACAAAAGGACAGAAACAATAACATTGTAGCGTGGGTCATCCTTGTACAATGATATTTGCTACACACATAAACGTCGGATGCATTGGTAATCATAAATTTTTTTGAAATAGGTATTTATGGTTGCTTTGCTCATTATTGCTGTGAATTGTCATATTTTTCAAGTTAATAAGTTTTCATCATATCAATTTATAAGTAAAATAATATTTTATACACTCAAGTATATAATTTAGTTATATCTATGTATTAAGCTGTAGTCCATCTCCTGCAAATTCTTATAAGTCTGGTCACGTCCCCTTCACACTGACGCTGACAAGAGAAACGTTTCAATTATTGTATAAAAGACTAGCTTTCCGCCCGCGGCTTCGCACGCGTGGATTTCGGATATATCGCGTTTTCAAGAGAACCTTTCAAAAGTCTGGGATAAAAACTATCCTATGTTCTTTCTCAAGATCAACTCTATTTTTGTACCAAATTTCATTAAAATCAGTTCAGTGGTGTAGGCGTGAAAGCGTAACAGACAGACAGACAGAGTTACTTTCGCATTTATAATCTTAGTAAAATTTTCAAGTAATGTGGCGTTGAATTGTAGTATAATGTACTCGTACCTACTGGGCCAAAATAACACCATTGAACATGAGTCAACTTTGATGCCTTTTAATAATATGTATTATGGTTTGCAAAAAATAATAATTTTAAAAATATAGAAAAGAAAGCTTATTTATAAGACTAAATTAATTTATTACTTTTACTCCATAACAACGACTTGCACGTCAAACGATTTTGAGACAGCCTTGTATGGGGCTTTCCCAGGTGCACTATGAGCAAATCGCGTATGTGCTGTCTCATAACTCCGTATCTCAGTTATTTCAAAACTAAATGATCTATAATTTTAAAGTTTCATGGTTTTATCCTCTAAAATTAAGAAATCCCATACAAACTGTCAACCCTTATTTCACCCCGTCACTGGTCGAAATTTCAAAAACGCTAGATCAAATGTTTAAATTATCCTATCAAGTGCTTAAATATAAAGTTTCATGGTTTTATCTTCTAAAATTAAGAAATCCCATACAAACTGTCAACCCTTATTTCACCCCTTCACTGGTCGAAATTTCAAAAACGCTAGATCAAATGTTTAAATTATCCTATCAAGTGCTTAAATATAAAGTTTCATGGTTTTATCTTCTAAAATTAAGAAATCCCATACAAACTGTCAACCCTTATTTCACCCCTTCACTGGTCGAAATTTCAAAAACGCTAGATCAAATGTTTAAATTATCCTATCAAGTGCTTAAATATAAAGTTTCATGGTTTTATCTTCTAAAATTAAGAAATCCCATACAAACTGTCAACCCTTATTTCACCCCTTCACTGGTTGAAATTTCAAAAACGCTAGAACAAATGTTTAAATATATCCTATCAAGTGCTTAAATATAAAGTTTCATGGTATTCTCTTTTAAAATTCAGAAATACCGTACAAACTTTCAACCCCTATTTCAACCTCTTCATCCCCTTTTTCGTAATAAAAGGTAGCCTATATTTTTCTCAGGGTCTAAAAATTGTCTGCGCCAAATTTCATCAAAATCGTTTGAGAGGTTTAAGCGGGAAAGCGTAACAGACAGACAGACAGAGTTACTTTCGCATTTATAATATTAGTTGTGATTGACTCCCCCCTCGTACCCCAGTGACGCTTACATGGAGCCTACATCGCATGCTGGCTAGCTGAGCGTGGTGAGCGGCAACCACGCGACTTTTTTCTAATACTTGCATTTTTAAACTCGTGATATCTTCCGAATGAAATGTCCGAATTGAATAATTCAAATTGAGTTATAAAAAGGTACTGAAGCCGTCTTGAATATAAAGTAATTTATTTTGATAAGGATTAATACCAAGTTACAAATAAAGAGCCTTTTCAAGCGGCGGATAATAAATTAAATTTTTAGAATAAAAAACCGCTTACTGTGATATAACTATAATATTTAGACATATGCTGTCGCGACACTTTTTGTAGATGATGATGAGTTCTGCAAAGTCGTAGTAAATGATTTGGTTCTATCATCAATAGTTTTCGCAGCGCACGCGACGTAAGGAATTTTTCAGATCATTTTTTTACACCTTGGGTTACATTATTAGAGTTTTAGTAAGGATCTCTAATTTTTATTTAAATATAATATAGCTTATATTACTCGGGAATAATGTAGCTTTCCCTAGGTGAAAGAACTTTTGAAATCGGTTCAGTAGTTTCGGAGCCTATTCATAACAAAGAAACAAACAAATCTATCCTCTTTATTAGTATAGATGATAAGAATCGTTTTATTGGAATATAAACTATATCATCATAGACATAAGAACATTAATTGAATGAGCAACTTTCTTTTCAAAATAATGCCCTTTGAATTATAAGTGACAAATTGGGTATTTTTTGCTTCACTTACAATTCCGTAGCTTTTAGATTATGAAAATATTAAAATTAATTGCTGGAAATAATTAAAATAAAGCATTCGAAAAGTTATTTATAATTAAATTGTTTGTACTTTGCTAATACATACATTCATTCTTAATTAATATATGTAGTTGTCTTTACCTATATTTTATTATATTCTAGCAAGGCGCCCCGGCTTCGCACGCGTTTAATGCTTATATTTAATACACTAAACAAAAACTGTGAACATTGTATATAAACATAGCGACCCGCTCCGGTTTCGCACGGGCAAAAAATCTACATTATATACTGTAAAGAGCCATATAGATCTATATTGAATTAACAGTGTATTTAACTACTTTTTGAATAAAGATTGACGCTGTAAATTAATAAATAAATAAATAAAATAAAATAAACCTTCCTATTCAATTACCCTATCTAGTTAAAAAAATCGCATTAAAATATTTCGTGTAGTTTTACATATTTAAGCATACATAGGGATTTTGGAACATGAAAGCGACTTTGTTTTATACTATGTAGTGATATTAAATTATATATATGTACCTTCCTCTTTAAATACACAATCTTTTAAAAAGCCACATCAAACTCCTTTGCGTAGTTTAAAAGATTTAACCATACAAGGGAATATAGAAACAGAGAAAGCGATTTTGTTCCATACTATGTATGTATGTGGAGATATTAAATGATTTCTCTTCGGTTTCTATCAAATTTTATCCAATCTCATAATCGCAGTTCTTATTCAGCAGTATGAATCTTGAATTTAGTTAATATTTATTTATAATAGACAGACACACTTACTGAGTGAGTAATGTAAGGCCTCGGCCTCGAATTTTGCGGGCAGCGGAGCGGCGGCGGCGGCGGCACGGAAACGCATACTGTTCTCCAAACTAGCGGGCAGCGGGCACCGCTGTATTCGAGGGTCGGTCCATTTGATTATACGCGTAAGATCCTGCCGCTCCCGCTGCCGCTCCCGCTGCCGCTCCCGCTGCCGCTCCCGCTGCCGCTCCCGCTGCCGCTCCCGCTGCCGCTCCCGCTGCCGCTCCCGCTGCCGCTCCCGCTGCCGCTCCCGCTGCCGCTCCCGCTGCCGCTCCCGCTGCCGCTCCCGCTGCCGCTCCCGCTGCCGCTCCCGCTGCCGCTCCCGCTGCCGCCCCCGCTGCCGCTCCCGATGCCGCCCCCGCAGCCGCCCCCGCAGCCGCTCCCGCTGCCGCTCCCGCTTCCGCTCCCGCTGCCGCTCCCGCTGCCGCTCCCGCTGCAGCTCCCGCTGCCGCTACCGCTGCCGCTCCCGCTGCCGCTCCCGCTGCCGCTCCCGCTGCCGCTCCGCTGCCCGCAAAATTCGAGGCCTTAGGCCTCGGCCTCGAATTTTGCGGGCAGCGGAGCGGCAGCAGCGGCGGCACGAAAACACATACATTTCTCCGAAATAGCGGGCAGCGGGCACCGCTGTATTCGAGGGTTGGTCCATTTGATTATACGCGTAAGATCCTGCCGCTCCCGCTGCCGCTCCGCTGCCCGCAAAATTCGAGGCCGAGGCCTAATTAACATATCTGCTATCTACTTCCTCGAGTTAAAATGAAGCCATGTGTGGAAACAATATCACTATTAAATTACAACTGTGTTATGTCATTTATTGAAATTTTAAAAGTCATACATATTTCATTGGATATTTCAATCCATCTAAGTGAAATATATAAAATAGAAATAGTAAGTAAAAAGACTATACAAATAATTTTGTTATATTATTTATACGTATAAAAGGAAGTATTTCATTTTGTTATCAATATTAACTTAAAAGATCACTTTTTAGTTATACACAGATTGATGAAGATCCTTCTCTCTTTTAACAGTTTAGAAGACTCCAAATATCTCTGAATGTTTTAAGTGATACTCATAAAATGCCAATAACAATTTATAAACCGTCCCTTGATACCACATGTCCCCTATGAGTGTCTCTTACCACAACCTCTGTCAGATTAAAGACTAACCTTTCAGAACCGTAGTATCGTATTTCTAAAAGGTTAAATAGGCAGTTGATCAAAATCTTGTGAAAAATAGTCTTAGTTAGTCAATATTAAGATTACATTTACGATAGTAAATAAAAGTCAATAGTGTAGTACTTTAATGTAGGCCGGTTTTTAAAATCTTTTGTAAATCTAAGGTATAATCATTATATTAAGGTCCGATCAAGGTTTAACTGATTGAAAGTTCAGTACGTTAAGTGCTCTTTTTATACTTTTCAGCATCGTTGTCTGAAATAACGTTTTAAAACTGTATTATTTTCTTAGTGGATATTATTACAATAGTCATTTCTAAGATGTTTTCTTATAAACATTTGTATCACGATACACTGGTATCTGAGGTCTGATTGACTCTATCGTGCGTGTCACTACGCTTGACCTACTCGGCTTGTGGACGAATTTTATTTCTTTATTTCATACGTAATAGCTTGCGGCATGTTTGTTTTTATTCACTAAAGGAAGCAAGATTAGAAGACTGTAGCATTTTTATCTTATTTATAATGCAGCTGTGATTTCTAAGTAGGAACTTATAATGTTACCATGAGAATATATTTTCGTGTACTTCACAAATTAACACGAATTAATTATAATCTATACATAATATATTTCATTAAGCTTTTAATTAAGTTTCCCCAAATGTTACGTACTATAATTGATTAGCCAACAGCTCCTAAATATAGGAAGCGCAATGACAATAACATTCTCTGATGTTCACCAGCTCTTAATGTTTTACTTGTACATATTAAAGAAGAACTTACAAAAAAACTGAGATTACATTAAATACTTATCATATTCATTTCTAAGCTTGTTTTTTAGATATTTTTTTAATATAAATATAGTAATTTAATAAAAAGAACTCAAAAATACTCATACAAGACCATCTATATCACACATGTTACAGATGCAATATAACGTCGTTATTATACTCTGACAGTATATATTGAACTTTCAAATTAAAAAGGGTCATTGAAAAACTTTAGAACAAAAAATAAATACGAGTTAAATTAATGCTCTCAAATGTATATTTAATTCGTATTGTGTAGTATACATTAAATGTACAGCGTCCGCCTCCAGCCTCCCCTCGGTCCCCTTCAGTCCCTCTTACCCGGACCTCTCTCACAACTCGGACGAGAACTCAGTTATGTGGTTTGATTACAGTAAAATAATTGAATATGGTGCCATGTAACATGCAATATAAATATCAACCAGCGTTATTTTTAGTGTGTCATGTATATTTTTTAATCTTTAAAATGATCTGGCCTCACAGTAGCAGTTATTAACTATGATCAAAAATATAAGAACTTAAAAAAAAGTATATATTTACTTCATAAAACATATTATCCAGATCAACTGCTAATAAATACTTGGGGAAATTGCATGTCGTAGATTTTGATGGTAAAGACGTCGTTTGTTTCACTCTAAACACCGAATTGCCAAAAATAAAAGTTTTTCTTTTCTCTGCTTCAATAAATTACTACCACGCGCTGCTATGTAAATGAAAAAGTGATACTTTTAACTGTTTGATAAATTAACTTAATTAAATAATGTAAAAGTAGTTGATGTAAAATTTTAGTTTAATTGTAAATATCTAATTTACTCTTTTTATACCCCTTACTTATTATTGTAGAGGAAACATAATATCTGACAATTATTTTTTTGGTATCGTTATATATCGTGTTTTTAAAAATAAAATCATGTTACCATATATTTATGTATCAGTGGCCTTTTACAATAAAAAAATATTTTTGGTATTTGAGGAGCGGGGAACATATCGGATAAATATTTCTTCGAGCTGGAAATTTTTTAAACATTAAGTGTATACTTAATGTTTAAAAAATTTATCTGTATAGATATTTATATGTAACTTTACCATTCCAAGGAGTTTAAATGTTATCTAATTATTAATTTAATATTATTATTAATTTAGTCGTAATATATTCATATCGTAATATTTTAATAACAATACATATACATGTTTATTAAATGAATACTAAATTTTTCATACGATTATTTTTTTATTTTTGATCTTCCATAGCACAAAATGTATGAGAAGATTTTCTAAATTAAATTTGATTAGACTTCATTACAGACGTTTCAGTGTTAATAAGCAATGAATAATTGAACGGATCAACTTACTTTGCTTATAAAAGCAAATTTTATGTATAATTATTCCTTACATGTGTATCACAGGTAATGAAGCCTTAATTACCAAAATATCTCAAAGCTGAAATAAAGGGAAATATCAAAAGAAAATCTTTGAAAATTCCAGATACATTTATGAAGCAAAGGCGGCTGCGACTGAAAACAAGCAAATAGAAATATTACTAGTTTGACGTCACTAGACGTTGCGATTGGTAACTAGAATATTTGAAGGTTTTTATCTACATTTAACATTTGAAAATTTATTATAGAAAGAGAATAATACATTTAAAACATTACATAATAAATATTCTAGAACAAATATATAAATAATAAGATGTATATAACATTTTTATTTGTTTTCTTACGAATCGTTAAAAAAAATTATAGTCTTGAGGATAAAAGTTTTTTCATATTTAAAATTATTATTAAAGCTGTTTATCTTGATTCCGACAGTTAACTAAATTTACGATTTGTTTTTGCGACCTACATGTTTAATAGTGTCAGAAAAAGATTAAGAATATAAGACGAGCATAAAAATAAGAATTCAAAACAAATACATACTTATTTTAAATATGTTTCAGTAATATTTTCCAATCCACTATAAGAGTCCATCAATTTCACTGTTTTGGTGTGGTCACCTGGACTTAAATACGAAAGTTAAGTTAGGATGTTAAAACTCCCCAAATAAAGTAAAGGTGTTTAAGAATATTTTTAAATCTACTAACTTTAATACAATATTCAGTACTCAAGTTCAATATTAGCATCGCCTCAGAGACCGCTCGTTAAAAATAATATTGTTGATGTTGTGGCGGTTGTACTATCACTGGATAATGTATTATCACTGGAGTGATGACACCACATATACATGTAGATATGTATGTATTATGTATGGACGATACATCTCCCATCATATGGTCGACCGAGGAGATTGCTGCTGGCGGGAACAGCTACTGGCTGATCTTGGTTGAAGTTAATTACAGTTAAAAGTTTGAGACTATGTTATGTTTCATTACTCTGTAATTTATAAGTTGTTTTTAGAATTTAAAAATTTCAAAAATTTTCTTGTACATTTTTTTCCGTACGTTTGTTTAGTCGGTAATTATTGTGAAAAGTATAATAAATAAACACGGTATAAAAATAAAACGAAAAATAAAATAATTATTCATGAACAGTAGTTGTGACTTTTTCTATAAAATTAAACTTTAACTTTAACTCTATAAAATTAAAACTCATTTCACGAAAATAATATAATTTGTTACTAAATAAAATTAAAATTATAAATAATAAATAATATTTTTTTCTAATAATCAAGACTCTTTTTTAAGTTTCATACTGGACTCATTCTTAAATTATAAAATCTACCGTTCACTAAACGTGACAGTCATAAAAACTATGTGTCGCCATTGACTTTTTCATCATCTAACAAACTCAATATACAATTACTTCCCTACATAATAATTAGTACAGACATATTTTAATTTTACCTAATACCCAATATATATCGTAATATTCAGATTTTTATTGTATATTTAGTAAGATTTATATAATTTTTAAATATAATTCCTTGCTAATATTCAAATTTAAAACACTCTTAATAATATAACCGACAAAACTGAAGGTAAATCTAAGCTTTTTTAGCAATTGCTCGATGTAGAATAGTTTGTTTGTTTGTCATCTAACATCTAGGATTGAAAACTTCTTACGTTTTTAATTAATAAGAAGTTTTAATAGAGTTAGGCTAGGACATAATTGAAATCAATTTGACTTCGAATCCTCATTAAAACTCCACAGAATACAGATATGCATATGCATATGGATTGTGCCACAACGTATTTTGAATGGAAAGGAATTCTCTCAAATAATATGTGCTTCGTGCATCCAATACGATGAGCTCTCAGTTGATATTGAATAAAAATATTTTAATAACAAAGAATTATCGGACAGGTTTGTGACATTAAGTAAATTAATATAGATATAATAAGTAAACGTATGTATTATACATATATGTATATATAAAATTATCTTATAGTAATGTGTTAGTTAAACTATTATGTTAAATAGAATATAAATTAGAATTGTGTCGTGGGACATCCCTACTAATATTATAAATGCGAAAGTAACTCTGTCTGTCTCTCTGTCTGTCTGTCTGTCTGTCTGTCTGCTACGCTTTCACGCCTAAACCACTGAACTGATTTTAATGAAATTCGGTACATAGAGTCCTTTGTATT